TTAATAGTCCAGGGATAGCACATAACTTTGGGCAAGATAGCTCCCTTAAGCCCTGTCAATCAGTGCCTGGAGGACTCAGATATAAGCTGTCAGCTGCCCACTCTCCAGACAGCTAAGAACAATGAGGGACTCAGTCCTGAAGAAAATATCGGCAGGCCACCTCAACATCCACCACAAATAGTAGGCAGTGATGGAGATTTGGATGCAGGCAGCCTGATCCTGACACCATGTTCTAGACCACTATAGGTCCTTAAGTAATGGATGAGGCTAGAGAGAAACACAGCAGCCCCTTTCCTCATCATCAGAGCTGCCTTTGATTGAGTAATACCAGGCACTTGCTACTCTCTTATATTCCTTCACTAAATTGACCACCCTAAGTATTGGCATTCTGGCTTTGAAGGTGGAGGATATAAGTGCAAACTCACAGTGACCTGCCTAACTCCTCCCAATTCCCAAGTGGCTTACCCATAACTAGACTTCAGTGTGTCCTGGAGTGATTAAACTCTCTGCCCTCCCACCTCCAGAACCATTCCTCCTCACTGCTGAAGGCCTTTTTCATATCTGCTCCTGTCCATCTGAGTCACCAGGACCAGGATGACTTACTCTTTGGAACTCATCTGACTTCTCTCTGAATTGGAAGCAATAATGGTCATTTGCCCCTGAAAAGTGAAGAAACGCTGAGGAGCAATGAATCATCAGGGACCACAGGGCATATCATCCTGACAGCCAGACAAGGTTTTAGGAAAAAGGAACCCACCCTCAAACTATGGGAAGGGAAACATCTTTGGGCATGGGATCATTCTAAGAGTTGGCTAAAGAATTTATTGTCAGATAGAAGACAAAGCAGCATAGCAGTGTGCATTAATGTCCCACTTTAAAAGAAAATACTAATGCCAATACCTATATTGATAAAATACCAATTGGGGTGGGGACTACACTAAAGGATTAAAACACTGGTTTTCTCAGAGACAGAGGGAGGATTACTAGTGGTTCCTATGCTATATATTTCTGAATATATGGCCTGAATTTTCTGTCACAGAATTTCTATAAGGTTTGAATTTTCTACAATGAACATACATTATTTTCTGAAATTCCTAAATAAAAATCTTTGTAAAATGGAATTCTCCGTTTATATCATAATTAGCATTCAGTGATTTTTCAATTCACCAGCACTTAATATATCTAAAGGAGCCCTAGTGGTATGGTGGGCTGCTAACCACAAGGTCAGCAGTTTGACTCCACCAGTGACTCCGAGGGAGAAAGACAAGGCTTTCTCCTCCTAAAGAGGTAGTTCTATTCTAGCCTTTAGGGTGTCAGTTTTGATGGCAGTGGAGGTTTGGTTTGCGTATGCATCTAAAGACAAAGTCCCTAACTCCCATTCAGCACTGCTCTTCTGAGATCCAACCACCTCACTTCATCAAGTACTCTGTCCTTGTCACTCAAGATCATGGAGCAAACGAGTCTGGTTCAGGGAGGGTTAGAGGAACAGCAAAGATTGCTGTGTTCTGTTCCTGGCTAGATTCTCCCTCCTGCTGCTGTTTGTGACTCACTTTCTCAGTCAGGAATACCAAGACTGTGCCTCGGCTGACTGGGGGACAATAAGAGTTGGTCCTCCCTCCACCCTTGGCAGTACAGACATCAAACCTGAGCTCGGATAGGGAGGATGGTGCTGGTGAGAGCCCCAGGGTCAGGGCTAGGAGGCACCCGGTATTTCTGACACTGTCGCTGCATCCTAAAAGGGAAAGTAGAAGCACATAGAAGAGGCTCGCATGGCTAAGGAGGTGCGGGAAAGTGAGGGAGGGCCCAGGTGGTACAGAACTTGGTTCGAACCTCCCAGTTCAGGGCCCTGTCTGTGGTCACAGGCAGGCCAGGGACAGTGACATGAAGTGGGTTTGTCTGTGTGTTTATGTATCCTTTTGACTTGGTTCTGTAAAAAGAGAAAAATAAAACGGCAGGGTGGTTTTTCCCTAGGCCCTGAGGAGGTGCTATCACAGTTGCCATGTGACACTTGCCCTAGTCCCTCCAAGAAACTTGTGACTTTTGTCCAGGGAAGAAGCCAGCAGAAAATGTCAGTTACTGTACAAATAGATGGAGCCACTTGTGAGTGGACTGGCCAGTTGAGTTTTGAAAAGGAACTGGCTGGTGATAATGAGCCTGTCCTCAGGGGCTGAGTGGAGGCTTGCATGGCAGAGAACTGTCCTACACCAAGAAAGTGGGGCTGTGCACCTCTCTTTGGGAAGGCTTCCCAGACCCTGCTTGTCTGCTTCCTAACATTACCTGCTCCTGTCACTTCCAAGTTCATCCTGATGCCACATAACTTATCCAATAAACCATCTAACTGTGTTTATGGTCTGTGAGTTTGGGGTGGATGTTGCAATGGATCGGCAAACCCAGCAGAGAAATGAAGAATGCCATGACTGGGGGCAGGATGGCTGAGGTAGATTGGTAAAAAGGTGGTAGAGGCAATATGGCTGCCTTCTGCCTCAGAGGAAGCAGCTTTGGATGATGCTGATCCTCATCCTCCCAGAAGTTCAATGGGTCCAGGGTGCAGACAGGCTGCATCTGTATCCGAGTAAGAGTCTACAAAGCTGAGACTGACAGACAGACAAGTCAGGCAGTGCTGCCCACTCTGACCAAAGTCCTGGCCTCTTCCTCACGCAGTCCCTGGAAACCAGAACCAGCTTCCAAAGTGTCTGCTCAGACACAGATGTCTGGCCCGTGATGGGAGGTCTGAGATAGGCCCCAGGGCCTCCAGGCCCTACAGACTGACACCAAGCCAGAAAAGACCAACAGGAGAGGAGGGGCTGGGGCCACAGATATGCAAGCCTGGGTGTGGGTGCTGATGCCACAGCGACTCTGCCATTAGGGTCCATTGCTGTTCTTAGGCTACTGACCTTCAGGGCCCTGGGACTTGGGCCTCCACACACGAATAGGTTCCTGACATGTGTCTAATACCCTATGTACCCCTTGGAACCAGCAGTCACACCAGTCTAGCTTAGAGAGTCCCACTAGTGCAATCAGTACTGCAGACTAAAGAAGGCCCTCTGACAGCTGGCTGTGCCGCCCTCAGCCTGGGCTTCCCTGAACAAAGATCTGTTGTTGATCCCACAGCATCGGAGTCCTGGGATCTTAATGAGACTTGGTGATGCCGTGGGAAGACCTGGGATTTGTGATCCTTGGCCCTTGATGTTGGGTGACCTGGCAGGCTGTTTAACCTCTCTGGGTCTCAACTCCTCACCTGTAAAACAGGGCTGGCAAACAGCTTCATATGCTATGGCACAGGATGATGAGGAAATAGGTGGCTAGTTTTTATTCTAAAAACAGGTACGAATGCATTTGTGTTGATTTTAAAAATCAGTTTCTGGGTTTCATATGTGTGCAAAACATGTAGGGAGGTTCCTGTCATTTCCACCCCAAGGATGGGACAGCAGCTGGGACAAGGTCAGCAGTGACCCGACCCAGGCTCACCTTCCAAAGTGCACTCCTCTATCACACAACCACACAAGGGAGTGATCACCAGGAGCCCTTCTTTACAAGAGGGACTCCATGCTCCGAGAGACATGGGATGCCTAAGATCACACAGCAGAAGCAGGAGGGGAAACCAGTATGCCTAAACGCAAGTCCAGCTCAATTCATGGAACAGCTTCTACCAGATCTGGATGTCTTTCACCGAGGGAGGCTGGCGTGATGCGGTCCAATGGACTTCTGTGCCTCCACTCTAATGGATCACATCTGGGAACTGATCCTTGGGTCAGCTTGTCCTGACAACAGAGGTCCAACTCTCGTGTTTTGTCCCAGCTGCCTCAAGACCCAGGCCTGGCCAGCCTGCTGGCCATCTAAGTAGGCAGCATCCAGAGACCACTGATCAGGGTCCTGTGCCTGGCACTGGGCTCTTAGCACTGGTTTAACGGTTCATCCCACTGTGGCAGCCCATCTAGAACCCTCTTGAGCCTCCTCTCCTCCTGCATTACAGGTAGTAGCAAATGGCTGAGGACCCCTAAAGCCTGCTGCCACTCGGCCCCATGTTCCTCTGTCAAAGCCACTCTCTCCACCCCATAAAGCTTGTCCTTACACGAGAAAGGTTACCTCCTTGAGCACTGGGTGTGGAGTTCCACACCTGGATGGAGTCCTGGCTGGGCTCATAGGGGCTGTGCTGTCCTAGTGTGTCACTGTCTCTCTGAGAGAGCCTCACTGTCCGGGGAAAGCGGTGAGTAGCATTGTTGTTAACAAGTGGCTGGATTTGAGAGCAAAGCTGTAGGGGAGGCTGGAGGCTGTGGCTCTAGGCTCCCTGGCTCTTCCCTCCCCAGGGCTGAGCTCCAGTCATAAGGTCTGCAGTCCCAGCCTGGTGTCTGTCCGTGTCCTGACCCGTGCTGGTCACTAGACTCAGAAAGCAGGCAAAGCAGATGAGGGATTAAGGGGAGCCATCACTGAACTCACTGCCATGGAGTGGATTTCAATTCTTGTCGACCCTAGAGAAGAGAGTAGAACTGCCCGTGTGGGTTTGTGAGCCTGTACATCTTTAGGGGAGCAGACAGCCTATCTTCCTTCAGCGGAGCAGCTGGTAGTTTCAAACTGCTGACCTTTCGGTTAGCAGCGCAGCGCACTTAGTGATGGCAAATGCAGCCTCGGACAGTTCCGAGCACAATTGTGCCGCAGGACGAGCTGGGTTGCCTGGGAGCACAGGGGGTCCAGGCTGCACACAGGCTCCTTCCAGAGACGCGGACCGTCAGTCGGCCCGGCCCTGTCCCAGGTGCTGGCGGGCGGGGACAAGCCCCAGCGCCTGCCCACAGATCGGGGCCTTCTCCGGCCCCCGATCCCTGACAGGAGAGCCATTAGGGACACCCGCTCTCGGGGTGCTGGGGGCGTCCCGGTGCCCTCCGCCTGTGCCCGCCGTGCGGCCCGGAGGCCGGGCCCCGAGGGTCGCTACGGCCCGGGGTCCCGAGCGAGCGGCGAGCCCCGGCGGAGGCGCAGGCTCCCCGCCCGCCGGCGGCCGCACTCACCCATGTTGACGAAGCTCATGACCAGGTCGGCGCGGCCCACGCCCCGCTCCGGGCGCCCGTCGTCGTCGTCGTCGTCGCCG